CCAGACCAGGGACACAGACCGCCCTCCCAGACCACGGACACAGACGTCCGCCCAGACCAGGGACACAGACGTCCACCCAGACCACGGACACAGACCACTGGCCGGATCATCGACACAGACGTCCGCCCAGACGACGGACACAGACGTCCACCCAGACCATGGGCACGGACCACCCACCCAGACCACGGACACAGACCACTGGCCAGATCATCGACACAGACCGTCCGCCCAGACACTGCCCCCCTCCAACCCACACCCCTGGCCCACCACCCAAACAGACATGAACATTGAACTCAAACCCTGGGTTATTTTATGCGTGGAAATCAGAATGACCAAAACCTTATTCATAAATGTAAATTCTACTCAGAGCACTGGCTTTATAACTGGCAAAATTAAGACGCTAACAGGAAAATCTATTCTTTCAGGTTTTTAAGTAAAAAAGACCATGCACATCAATCAGCTTGCCCAGGTCAGTTAGGATGTGCCGTCCGTTCGTCTATCTCGCTCTCCCGCTCTGCGTGTTCCTCCAGTGGCATCTCTGTTCATCAGCTCACCAGGTGTTCTAGAACACCTGAGTGGAACGCCTCACCTGATTCCCAGACCCTACGGCCACGGGCAGTACTGATCCGTGAAGGAACAAAAGCCTTGTTTGCTATCACGTTTGCTGGAAAGGATGTTTGTTCTCTGAAGCACAGTCTTAACTGAGACGCAGTCCTTGATCTTCTGCAGCAAACGCCTGAAGTGGTCTTCACGCTCAGCAAGCACGGTCACGTCACCTGCGTACCACAGGCTGCTGGCGAGGCCTCCACTGCTGGTGAGTCCACCTTCACTGAGCTCTGGCGCCTGGATTATGCTCAGCAGACAGACTGGCCAGGCGTGGGGGAAGGACACAGCCCTGACACACACGGGTTAAAGCATGCCGTGCTCCCTTGTTCTGTTCCAAGGACTGCGTGAAGACAGAAACAGACTGGAATACTGAAGTTACTAACTTAGTAATGAAAATCACACTGTGTTTACTTCCTCATTTTTATTAATCTTTCCCTGCCTATGGTTGGCTGGCTGGCTGATGTCTCGGTGGCAGTCAAACAAGGGAAGTTTCTGGGGTCCTTTTGTGTGTGTTACTCTTCTGACTAGGGCAAAGGCCAAGGCCTGCCTGAGGGTGTGACTATAAAATCCTATAGGGCCCAGGAGCCACAGGCACTCAGGCCATATTATTAATTTCAGAAGAATATTCTTTTAAAGACACACAGTCATCTGTCTATTTGCTGTGTTGAACAACTTGGAGTTGCTGTGATGCTGAACACGGTTCCAGAGTCTTGTCAAATACCATACTGGTTACCCATTATGTACACAATGTTAGGATGAGCTAACAGATCGATTCATGTTGGGAAACAGGAGTGGCATCCACTTCCTAGATTAGATGCCTCTCGAAACTCCACAAACTCTCTTATAAATGAACAGAAATTATGTTAATCGTAGAACATATCTCAGGTCTTCTGTGCAAAGCTTACGCTGAGTCATATTCAACTTGACAACACTTAACCACTGGTAAATGAGACTAGTGCTGTTGGATCTGGAGGAACACTCTTCCACTCTGCACATCACTCTTTGTCAGTGTGCGGGATGAGGTAACCTGGGTTTGCTGTGGTGCTCAACCTTGTGCCATGAGGTACCAAATACCAGAATGGTTTCCCAATGTGGACAGTGTTAGGTGGAGCTCCCTGTTATAAAACAGGTTGGGAAGCAGGAGTGGCATCCACTTCCTAAACCACATGCCTCTGGAAGCTCTATGAACTTGGAGAAACATCGATAGCTATGGAAAGGCATTAGGTCTTCCGTTCAGAGAGTCGCTATGAGTCAATCTCGACTCGACTGCAGTCAACAACCACCACCTATAGTTACATAAATGGGAAAACTTGTGGCAAACACTAAAAAAATCCCCCAAAAAACAGTCCGAGAAAGGCATGCAGCCAATACCTAGTTGACCCTGAGAACCCTGACCCGTGTGTGAGACAGTGCGCTAACCCCGAGGCCCAAGCCACGCCAGCGCTGCGGTGCAGAGGACAGACTGAAGGATTAGAACCACCGAGGCACAAACTCAGCCACATCCTACCAGACTCAGTGACAGCAGTAAGTGCTGGGCGACAGAAGCCACCACCTGCAGCAACTCTCACCAGCGCCAGCGGCCAGCAGCTCACAAAGCACGTAGGCCAAACCCCCTTCACAGCTGCCCCTGGGCTGACCTTGACACACCCTGAGGCCGCGTGCAGACCTGACACCCTGAGGCCACGTGGCTGAGCAGACCTGGCTCGAAGGGCTCTTGGGACTGTAATCTTTTTGGAAAGGCTCCGGGTGGTACAGTAGCTGTTAACTAAAAGGTCCTGGTTTGAACCCACCACCACAGCTGCTGTTTAAGGACACACAAGTCAGCGAGGGACGTGCGGGGACAGAGGGCCTGAGAATGGAAAAAACCGGGCGGCTCTGCAGGACAGAGTGAACCAATCCACAGGGGGAAGTCTGAGTGGATGTAGACTCCACCTCTCATCCCAGAGTGACCAATGGGTCAAACCAGTGTCCCGTCGGTCACTCAGCAACAGAAACACAAGCTGTACAGACAGGGACAAGGAGGACAGAGGCCACACACAGTGGGACGCTGTGCAGAGCAGAACCCAGGGCACACGCTCTCCTCACAGACCCGGTGCAGGGACACCCGCACACCTCGGTGGCGGTCACTGACCGCGCCCTGAAGGACCCCTGCTAGAGCACTCTACGGTGTTTCAGCGCTGACCAGAAGGCCGTGCCCTGGGCAGTTCCAAGGTCCAGCAGCTGGAAGAAGAGCAGCGGCTTCTCCCACCACTGTCCACAGCCTCAGAGTCCAGGCAGAGGGTCACCAGCACCGCAATGACTCAAGTGGAGGGAGGAGTGACGCCCGGAATGACATGGGAACACGGTGTGACAGAAAACACGCAGCCAACAGGGTCATGTCTCACTGCTTCTCCCCTCAAATGGGACAGAAGACCTGAAACAAGGCCTGGGCCCACCACTCACATGCAGTCCCCCCACGTGCGGACCACAGATGGGCGAGTGGGCAGGGTCTCAGCGACAAGATCCCACAGGTGCTAACAAGCCAGGCCAGGCTCCCACTCACTGAGGGGACAAAGGATGCCGTCAGAGTCGAGAACACTGCACGTCAGCCAAGAAGACACAGATACGTCCAAGAAGGACTCGGCTGAAGGCACTCAAGAGAGATTGGAAAACATTTTGCTGTAGGTTTGCTCTATTTTCTTAAAGAAAATTTTTAAAAGATTATTACCATTTAGGGTTATTTTTTCAAGAAATGAAATTTCTTTAAACAGGAATCTTCCTGAAAGTTAGTGCTAAATTCCAAAGACACCAGGAACTAGACTGCACTCACTACAACGTGAGGTTCCTGCCACACCCTGAATCCTGAAGCCAAATACACAAACAAACACAGCCAGTTCTGGAGCAAGGAGCCTGGAGTGTGACTGGAAACCCCACAGTAAATGCCCGACATTCGCAGCCAGTACAGTGGAACTGGGGACCCACAGCCCACCCCAGAGGGCAGCACGGAGCACAGATACAACAACAACAGAGCAAGCCAGATGTCCTCAGAGCTAGGAGCTGCCCGGCACAGTCCACTAATCGAGAACCCATGGCCTGATACACACACACATCTGTCCATTGTACCTGAGACCACCCACGCCCCCCCTACAGAGGCAGTCCAACATAACCCAGAACCCCAGAGCCCAACACCCACCCAGAACAGCCAGTCCAGTGCATGTGGGACCCTCAGAGTCCTCCGCCCCAGCCCCCTACAAAAGCACAGAGCACAGGTACATCAACAACAACCAAAACCACCTTTCCAGCGTAAGGGGGACCTGCACCCCCACCTCAGGGCAGCACAGGACACAGGCTCTCAGATCTCCTCTAGAATAGACTACAACTAATGTGAAACACAACCCACACCTCTCTGATCCTAGTGCTCACCTTACAAGGATTCCTCCTGCCAGGGGCCTGCCTGCTCTGGAGGAGAAGGGATCAAAGGAGCACAGGCAGGAGAGAGGTCAGCAAGGGGCGAGTCAGGGCCTGGTGCCACAGGGCAGGCACATGGCTCCCCTCGGTGCCCCCACCCTCCACAGGGCTCACCCAGGTGAGCAGGTACCCCTCACCTCAAGTGTGCAGTGGGGCAGAGGCACCACGTCCTGCCCCCCAGCCTGGCCTGCCGCTCAGAACTGACTGAGGACTGAACGCTGCAGACAGGAGGAGCAGAGGTGCGGCCGGCGTGGGAGGGTGCTGGAGTCACAGCCTGAACGCATCCTAACAGCACAATAAAAACAACCCAGGAGAGGCAGAAACGCTCGCCTGCCAGCAGCACAGGTCAGCCCACTGTTGAGCGGAAGGCCTGGCTTCCTGGCTGAGGTCGGGGCCAGCAATGGGCTGGGCGAGCTGGAAGCCGGCCCCCACACCGCCCACTCAAGGCTGGTCTGCTCTCCGTCCTCACCTCTCCGGCCCCACGGCCGCCTAGGCCTTAGAACCTGGACAGTGTCTTCCCTCTGGTGGGAATGACCTGAACTCTGTGGAACCTGTGGCAGATACCCTGCAGGGATACATGACTCCCAATGGGGGCCTGCATCAGCCTTGGGAGGGGACCCAGCCCAAGGCCCTGACAGGTGGGGGACAGCCCAGCAGCCCAGAGCCTGAGAGGTAAACAGGGGCAGAATCCATGAACCCTGGGAGAGGACCCAGCCCAAGCCCCTGGTGGGCAGGGTGGGGTCCACGAGCCCCCACAGGGGACAGAGCCTTGCCCTGCTCGAAACCAGTGAGGCTATTCCTCGGTGCCGGGGTGGAGGGGCAGATTCCAGAAGGTCTGCAGGTCCCGAGGACTGTGGGATGGGAGGTATGTGACAGTCACATGTCAGAGAGACCAGAGTGCCAATCAGAGGGTGTGGGGCCACATCCTGGATGTGGGCATGGGCAGTAAAGAGGGGGCCGGAACGGGGCCAGGAGCCCATCTCTGCCAGGAGGACCTCGGAAAGCAGGGCTCCCAGGCTGCAGGACAGAGCCGAGGCTGTGTCTGGAATCTACACAGAACCACAGAGAAACGTATCAACATGAGGAAGCCAGAAACTCAAGGCAAGAAAAGAGGATTAACAGACGGCTTACAGCATGGGACACATCTCGACTGGCGCCAAACGCGAAATCCCGCTCCCGGGAATGGGGCTGGCCGCAGGAAGACGCTCCTGTCCCCCAGGCGTCCCCCCACACACGCGCTGGCCCCACGTGGCACAGGGAGGGCAGGAGTAGGGGGGCACTCTGCAACCTCCCGCCCCCTTCCCTGGGGAAGGTACAGAGACAACCTGGCCCATTCTTTACCCTGAAGCCTGGGGCTGCCTCTTTGTTTTAAGCTAAGTAAATAAGGTTCAGAACTGTAAATAAAGTTTCGAAACGCAAGTACACAGTGTAAAAGCACAAACTAGAACATTCCTCTGGACTACTGAATTGACCATTCTGAAATAAAATAGTAAAATTCTGTGGTTTTAAAATTGCCAGGAGTGTAAAAAAAGGCCCTGAGAGCAAGTCGCCTGACAGGGAGCACGCTGCCACGCAGGGGCCCACAGCTGACCCACTGGCAGCGTGACCACACCGCACAGACGGCCGTGCTCCCAGATCCTCACCCACAAAGGACCCGCCGAGATGGGGCAGCAGTGGGGGAGGCCCACACTCACCCCGCACGGCGCCCTGCCCACCACACAGAACCACATCCTCACCGTCTCCTCCAGGGACGACCCACCAGCAGGGCCAGGCCTCCGGGCAGCCCCTCCGTGTGCTCAGGGAAACCGGCCAACTGTGGCAGAACCACAAAGCACGGGGACAACCAGCTGGCTCAATGCTCATGGACTTTGCTGGTTATTACCCTGGAGAAAGAGCCAGGAAAGTAAAAGCGGCAAGGATGCTCTGTGTTTAAAACTCAACCCAAACAGGAAGGAGGTGCTGTCCAGAGCAGAGCAAGGAGTAGAACGGGGGTCCTACGGGCCGCAGTGCAGGAGGTGGCCGGTGCCCTGCCAGCCATCTACGTCTCATCCAGAACCACACGCGGGCAGGGATCCGGCCAAGCCAGACACTAATGGGGATCCGTCCACAGACCAGGGCAGCAACACCCCAGAGTCACCTACACGGCAGGCGGGCGAGCGTGACAGGGTCACCCCGTCCAGTAACACCCAAGTCACCCAGAGAGTGAGTGAGCATAACACAGGTGGCCCACGTCATTGAGGTGACACCACTGCCAGGCACATCAAATACTCCCTGGCCTTGTGGCCACCCTGATCACGTATCCAGCCCACCTCAGATGGTCCCTCCTCCCGCACGCCTCCTCCAGACCGCCCCACCTCCCCGTCCTTCTCAGCTGCCCCACCGGCCCTGGGAGAGGCCCTCCGTCGGAATGGACAGTCCCTGCACAGCCCGCACCCCGAGCCAGGCCCTCTGCCTCTGGCTCCCAGCAGCACATTGTAGATCCCACTTCCCGGAGCACGACTGTCCCCACGTTCAAAGCCACATTAATGACAGTCAAATGCACTCATGTCACACCAAACCCCACACCAGATCACACCCAGAGACCCCGCGGGCAGGAGACCCAGACCAGTGGCTTCCAGAGCACACCTCTCACCTGTCCTGCCCAATGCCCAACCCACTGCACCACCAGGCCTCCAGGCCCACCTGTGATCCCTCAGAGCTCTAAGAGAAGGCTAAACGTCAGGCACCTGCTTAAGACTCAGTAGGAATTTTCTTTCCGTCAGTGCTCATTTCCCCTCACGTTATTTCATGCCACACACACTGCCCCCCCAGAGGTACAGTCCCCCCCACTGCCCACCCCCTAGGGGGACAGTTCCCACACACACACACACTGCCCACATTGGTCAGTCCCATACACACTGGCCCTCCTGGGGTTAGTATCCCCCACTGTAGGGACAGTCCCATACACACACTGCCCCCCATGGAGGGACAGTCCCCCACATGGTATAAGATGCTGACTCGTCTGCAAGACGGTGTCTCAGGCCCAGCATGAGGGTCTCCCTGTCCCAGCAGCCAAGGAGAGGCTCCAGGCACCAGGGAAGCGTCCAGCTGTGAAGATCTCTTTGGCCCCTGCTGTCTGAGCACCAGCTACAGGGTGTGACTGGCTTGGGCCACATCTCCAGGGTGGCCAATCTCCCCCGCCTCCTTAGTACCACCCAATGCCCCCAAACCCAGCCAGCTGCACTGCCCCTTGGCCAAGCCTCGCACCACTGACTAGGGCTTACACAGAAGCCGTGGCACCCACCATCCTGTCTCCCACCTTTGCTGCCACGATGCTGAGGCCCATCCCATTCTGCTTCTTGAGGGTCACGGTGATGACCTCTGGCTCCTTCCGCAGAGGCTGGGCCTGCAAGGGGGAGACAATTCACGTTCTCAGAGAAGCAGTATCTGCACGTCAGACGAGGTGCAACCAACAGTATCAGCGGCACCATGGTGAGAAGGGTGGGAAGGAAAGAACGTAAAAAAAATGCAGGTCATCTTTCTCCTTTTAATCTAAACAAAACACAATACTCTTGGCTCCAACGTTAATCAAAAAAGCTAATTAAACATCCCCTGAAGAACTTAATTTACAAAACGGGAAAAAAGTAATCACTGTTGCTAAAATTCTGATCATAAAGGCAAATTCCATTTCTACTGCATTACCCTGAAATGAGAGGCGGAAATGGATAGGGACGACAGGAGAACGGATGCCGCCGAGCTGCGGTGCTGGAGAAGAGTGAGGCACGCCTTATCCACTCCACCTCCCATTAGGATTGGCCCTGCTGTCTGTGTTCTTAAGAGGAGTAACAAGCACACAATCTGAATGCCCAGCAATCACTGACCACAAAGCTGTGGGGGCTTCTGAGGCGGTACCAGCTGCCGTCCCTTCCAGAGTCCTCAGACACGGTCCCGGCCACGGCTACTCCCATCCCTTCTGGGACCAGCGGCAGGGACTCACATCACCCTGCACATCTTATGACGGACCCCTCTCCCTAGTAACTGGACTCACAGGAACACTTGCTGGGAAGCGGCCTGAGAGATGGGAAAGGCATTTTCACCAAGTTCTGAGAGGTACGTGAGGAACAACAGAGTGCAGAAAGGAAGGGTCCCGGTGCTGGTGCCCGTGTGGACCCACAAGGTGACAGACATGCCGCACAGCAGCACGCCCGCGGTGGGGCTGGCGGGCCTTTCCAAAGCTCCCAGGAAGCTTCACCTTCCCTTTCAACTACCTCTGGGGAGCAAAAGAGGCTTTCTGTGAACTAGAGAGCTCGGGCAGGAGACTGTGGAGGCCTAGAACAGACGCCACACCTGTGGCAATCGCGCTACTGATGTCGCTTCCTTCTGCAAGACTCGTCACTGTGGGCTGTCCAGTGGGAGCCGGCTCCCAGCTGACCCTCCGGCGGGTCTGCAGAGGCTGTAAATCACACGGGAGGAGACGGACATTCTTTCCCTGGCTGAGCAAGGAATGGATTCAAACAAATGGCCTCTAGGTTGGCAGCACAATTCCTTCCCACTAAGTCAGCAAAGCTCCCTCCTGTGTGGCCGACCAGCTCGGAAACCCGTCAAGGGCCCGTGAGGAAGGGGCGCTGAGCCAATGGCCACGAGTGATTAATTCTGTGATCCACCTTTCCTGCTAAAGGATCAGTGGGAAGTGGCTTAACAAATCTAAAACCAGGGGAAACAACCGCAAAAGAAAACATTTTCTAGAACATTTGGAAAGCATCACGGCAGGACTGGTGCCACTGTACAAGCAATCCTTTTCTAAAGAAAGGACCTTTTCTGTGGAGAAGGCGGACAAGGCAGAGCCGCCCAGCCTGAGATTTCTGTACAAAACAAGCAGGAACAACTGAAAACCGTTCTCACAACAGCGTTCAGTGCATGCAAGGAACTCACAGGCCTCTGAGTCTCAGCTCCTCTGAAGACTCTCCTTACACGGCCTGTCACCCCTCAAACACTCACCAGCTCCATGTTCTCACGCAGGAGGTGACTTTCATAGTCTGCCCCTTCAAAATAGATGGTCCACGTCCCAGGAGAGCGCACGTGAGGGATTAACCTGCAAAATCCTGAGGGGAGAGAAGCAGCTGAGGAGAGCGAAGAGGGCCTCGGCCGAGGGGGCACCTCAGACCGCTAAGGAGAGATCCTCTCTGCACGGCTAGACCACTCCCCGTCCTGCGGAGGACAGTGAACGGCACAGCTGCTCTGCTCATAGAGGCCTGACACCAAGCACATACTCGGACATGGTCTCTACCTCTTACTCACCTGACACAGGCCCCCAGCCTACCTGCACCTGGCCTCTCAGGACCCACCTCCACTCAGCCATGACCAAGCCCCTGGTCTGTCTGCCGCCTGGCCTCTCAGGACCCACCGTAACTCAGTGCTGACCGAGGCCCTGGTCTGGCCTCTCAGTGTGATCTCACCAGCACTGAGCAGCCCACTTTCCACATTATTTTCTCAGCAAGTGGACACTTGGGAAGTGTCCTCACAGACCAGCAAGTTTCAAAACCATACTACATTGAAATGAGGAATAAAGTCATGTGCTCTTTTTGGAACAAAGTAAAAAAATCAGTGTTTCAACCTGGATCTGTGGAAACAGAATGCACAACATTCGTCTCTCATGTGTGAGGCTGTCAGGGAGGAAACCCCACCCCGTACAGCTTCTCTGACTGACCCCAGGGCCGGAATCGTGGTGCCATCACCACGATCCACTCGTGTGCGGGGTGCGGGAGAGCAGCCCTGAGCGCCCACAGGACGGCAGGGCCCGACAAGCCCAGGTCCCTTCTCCCGGGCTCAGGCGGACAGCTGCACACGAGGGCAGGCCCACCTCCACGGGAGAGGGGTGTGAGGGACGGCAGCACCTCGTCTTCCCGAGTGAGGGGTCGTTCTCACACTAGGACGCTGCAGTGTAAGGACAGGGCACCTCACACCCACGCACTGTCGGGTGCCCTCACCATGGGGGGGCACAGAGGACGGGGTGCGCCCTGTCATGGGAGGAAGGGGCGACTCACTGGCATGAGCACACAAGGACTGCAGTGCAGACCAGCCGTGCCCATCACACTCGGGCTCTCACCTCGCTGGCACAGAGGGTCCAGGAACTCCTGTAAACCGTTGGGAACGTTCCTGACCACGTCACAGGAGTAGCCGTCTTCTGGCAGGAGGAAAGGCAGCTGCAGGTCAGGGTCCTCCTCCAGCTGGACCTCCCGCCCGTCGCTGCGTGCTAACTCGTCAGCAGTGTTCTCAGCCACGGCCACTACGTTTTCTATAAGGTCCTGGAAACACAAAGCCAGAGGAGGCTGGGTGACGCGTGCCGAGAAAAACCAGAAGGGACACCCTGTTTGTCAGCAGCAACTTGGCTGTGGTGTAGGTACTTGATGCACGCACTCACTATGCATGTACGTGGTGACGGAAGGACCAGCCCTCAGCCTGCCCCGAGCTGGCCCTGGAAACCACACCAGCAAGCACGGACAGACAGTGCCCTCCAGACGTGACCTGAGACGTGCTCACACACGTGAGCTCCCCAGGAGAAGGTGCAGCCAGAGTGCTCCCTGGAGGCAAAGACTACGGCCGTGTCCCGTGCACGTCATGCTGGGGAGGGTGGGGGACAGCGAAGGGGAGGGAGACCCTCAGCCGAGTGGACTGACACTGACAACAGCAGTGGGCCCAGGTGGGTCAGAGACGGGAGGTTGGTACAGAAGAGGACGGGGCTCAGATCTGCTATTTACAGGGCACTAGGAGTCACACGTGACTCAACGACACCTCACAACAGCAATGTTCACAGGGCCTAACCGCACAGCTACGTCACTGAGCACCTACTCGGTTCAAGAAAGAACTGGGACCTGGATCACACACAGCCTTCACCTCTCCTCCTGCCGCACAGGTCCTCCAGCACATCTGACCACGCCCTTGCCCAGCACCTCTCTGCCCTCAAGGTCACAGGGCTCACCCCTGAGCCAGGAGTCCCGCCTGCCTGCTCCTCCAGCCCAAGGGATGGCTCTTCGCGCACATGTTTTACATGGGGTTTGCTTGGTGCACATCACATCCCAGCTGTCCCGAGAGCCTTGCTCCCATCCTGGGCCTGCAGTGCAGTGGCCACTGTGTGGCGGAGGCTTTACTCACACAGGTACCGCCACGCTGCATGGCGTCTAAGCCGAGAGCTCATCAGCCACCCTCTCTGATCTCCCTGCATGTGGTTTCCCAGGACGGGGCACTACCACTTACGTGTTAACTCACCAGGGCGCAGCAGTGCCTGCACAGGAAGCAGGCCAGCACCGAGGGGAGTGAGTTTCCAGTCAGGGATGGGACCTGAGTCTCTCCCAGCCAAGACCTGCCCTGTAAGGCAGTAGGGCATGGCACCAGCCTCGTGTGTCCTCGCTCTGGACCGTGGTCAGTGGCCTGAGCAACCCCTCCACAGGGACCTGGGCACTCCTCCCAGCAGCCTCAAGAGCTCAGAAGCCCACACCCTCAGCTACAGCCTTTCCTGGGCTTCCCCACCAGGCTCCTTCAATCCTTTACTGCTTCAAACACTGCCATGGTTTCTGCTTCTTGCTCTGAGCCTTGCCTCTGAAGCCCACAGGAAAAAAATCTTCCAAGATGATATGAGCAGAGTGCATCATAACATGTTTTAGGCTCAAGGAGAACACCCAGCGCACCCAGCACCTAGTCACCGTGCAGGGGGGCAGGCCTGTGCTGCAGTGATCACCCAGCACGCAGTGACCACTCAGGGCTGCACAGTGACCACTCAGCACCCAGTCACCGTGCGGGGGGGGGAAACAGGCCTGAGCTGCACAGTGACCACCCAGCACCCAGTCACCGTGCAGGGGGGACAGGCCGGAGCTGCAGTGATCGCCCAGTCACCACTCAGGGCTGCACAGTGACCACCCAGCACCCAGCAGGCACGCACCGTGGGGACGTAAGGCTCGTCTGGTGCGCAGTGGTAGTTCTGCAGTAAGGCTTGTAGTTGCAGTGAGTTTAACTTGAAGCAGGTGCTGTTGATATTTGGGATGTCCTCAGGTGCGTACTTGTCCATGGTGAGCAAAGTGGTTGCCTGGTTGCAAGAACAAATCAGGGGAAACGTGAAAGTCCACACGTGAGCAAAATGCACGCGCATCAACTGTGCACAAACAATAGTTGAAAGGTCACCTAGTGAGCATCTCAACTTTTACTGACTACATAAACGCTGTTATGTACCATTAAATTAGTGACCCTCTAGGGGGCTCCCAGGGAAGGAGTGCCCGTCCTTCTGCAGAGCAGCTGGTGGACTTGAGCCTTACACCTTGTAATAAGCCACCAGAGCTCTAGAACCTGGTCCAGGTGAGGTCTGAGGGGTCTCACTGTGGTGCCTGGGACAGGTGAGGGTCTGAGGGGTTTGGCTGTGGTGACTTTCAGAACATGGCTGTTTAGTCAAAGTCGGCTGAGAAGTCCTTTCTACCTTCACTCTTCTTAAATGACACGGGGAAAATAAACCACAAAAGCTGGGATCTCCACCGCCCCAGCTCTCGGCTGGGCAGCCACGGGGCCAGTGAGCGGACGCACAGCTTTCTGTCCGAAGCTCCGAGCCCGGGAGCCCTGGCACCAGAGGAGACGCGGGTCGGGTCCATCAGGCGAGTTCTGTCCCCAGCTCGGCGGCCGGCACCGACTGCCCCCGGCACTTCCCAGTGCCCTCCGCCTCTGCTCGGAGGGGACCCTGCTCGTACCCACCTGCACGATCCTGCTGAGGTGGCAGTCGGCCGCCAGCTCCAGCCCCTGCTTCTCCGCCCAGGCCTCGATGTGGCCCAGCTGCTGGCGGATGATGGCGCCCCAGTAATGGGAGCAGAGGCCAGAGTCAGGGTCGGTGACCAGTCTGTTGAAGAGCCACATGTTGATGAAGTGGAAGAGCTGCGAGAAGAGCTGGATGGTGAGCGCGGCGTTGACGCGGCAACGCCGCAGCAGGGACATGGCGCCGGTCAGCGTGTGCAGGACGTCGTCTGCGGGGCCGCCAAGGATGGGCCACCATGCCATGCAGGGGACACAGCAAACCGTCAGCAAGGTCAGAGCAGAGGACAGGCGCAAGCACCGTGCACTCAGCGAGACACGGGGTCACCCACTGTCACAGTCCACAGACAGACAAACATACACACACAAACACACAGGAAGACACGGGGCCACCCACTGTCACGATCCTCAGACAGACAGACAGACAGACACACACACACACAGGGAGACACGGGGTCACCCACTGTCATGGTCCTCAGACAGACAGACAGACACACACACACACACACACAGGGAGACACGGGGCCACCCACTGTCACAGTCCTCAGACAGACAGACACAGGGAGACACAGGGTCGTCAACTGTCACGGTCCTCAGACAGACAGACACACACACAGGGAGACATGGGGCCACCCACTGCCACGGTCCTCAGACAGACAGACAGACAGACACACACACACACAGGGAGACAGGGGACACCCACTGTCATGGACCTCAGACAGACAGACACACATGCAGGGAGACACGGGGTCACCACTGTCATGGTCCTCAGACAGAAAGAGAGACAAAGCGAGACATGGGGTCACCCACTGTCACGGTCCTCAGACAGACAGACACACACACACAGGGAGACATGGGGTCACCCACTGTCATGGTCCTCAGACAGACAGAAAGACAGACAGACACACACACACACACACACACACACACACACACACACACACAAAGGGAGACACGGGGCCACCCACTGTCACGGTCCTCAGACAGACAAACAGACACAGGGAGACATGGGGCCACCCACTGTCACGGTCCTCAGACAGACAGACACACGCACAAACACACACACACCCACTGCACTCACAGTCCAGCTCCACCATCCTCCACAGCACAGCCACATCCGACCTCAGCCAACACAAACATTCACGCAGGAGATCCTCACACCTCCCACAGCACAGTCAACCCCACAACACCCAACATAAACACTCACCCGGGAGACACAGACCCACCCCACGACTAACCACACCCAACACAGACATTCAGCCCGTGAGGATGGAACCTGACACACTCTACAGGGAAACAAGGGCTAAACAGAAAAGCTGGCCAGGAGCCCTTCCTGCAGAATCCCGTAAGCCTTCGCACAGTCAGCCCCAGGTCCCCCGTGACGCGGTCAGGGGGGAGTTATGATGCAGCCCAGGGCATGTGGCTCCTGGCGATTCACAAACGTCTCAGGGGGTCAGCTAGGAGTCAGTTCTGACACCCGTGAACCACTGGGCTGCCACTAACGGGGCTGAGGGTCGGGGGTGGGTTGACAGCAAGAACTCCTAACCTATTTTGGGTCTCTGCAGGCTGTTCTCCTCAGGGTCATCCAGAAAGGCCGGCATGTAATTATTCAGTTCTGACTGCAGACAGTGGACCAAGTGCCTAGAAGCAACAGAGAAGCAGAATGGCTCCCAGGCCCACAGGACGTGCTCAGATCCAGACACCAGAGTCCACCAGGAGCGGCCTCGGGCCTTCCCTGCATCTCCCTGCTGCAGACAGGCCCCTCTCGCTCCACAACCTGTGTTCCGGACAAGGACAGCCGATCCGAAACACAAAACCCTGGGGACAGATGGCAGGCCACCGCCAAGTCTCCCAGGGCCAACCAGCGGCCTGTCTGGGACAGGCGGGGTTTCAGTGGAGAGTCCACGTGGTCATCTTTTCTCATAGGTTCCACTTAGCCCGGGGTCGGGCTCTGTCGGGTTTTACTGACAGCCTTACTTCTGGAGTCCTGAAGCTCAGCTCACTGAAGTGAACGCTGAAAGGCAGTCGTTCTGCGCTTTTGCATGTGTCCATCCTCCAGGATGGAGGCCGACTCAGCGGACCCTCAAGTGCCGAGCTTCCCAGCTGCTCTGGCAGCCAGAGGTCCTGCGTCTCCCGCTAGCACACACTGTCCCCCAGGCTGCTCTTACTTGAAGGCCATCTGGACCAGGTGCGCCAACACGTCCTGCGCGTCCAGCGTGATGCGGCTGAGGTCGCGGTCCTGCTTCACGAAGTTGAGCAGCTCGGACGCGTTTGCCATCCAGAAGGCCAGGGCGCCCGCGATGTTCTTCTGTTTCTGCAGGTGGAGCAGGCTACACTGAGCGCCACAGGGAACGGGGGGCGCACGCACACGCACGTACTCTCTCTCTCTCACACACACTCTCTCTCTCTCCTGAGAAGCTGAAGATAGACAGTTCCTTCCCATCTCACCAAGGCCGCACCACAGATACCAGATACTTGCCAGGGATGAGCACGAACTAGGCAATTGAGAGCCAACGGCCGCTGGGCGGTCTCGGCACTGACAAACACAAATGGGTCCAGGTGGTCTTACGGTTTAGGGGTTCAGCAGAGACACGGAGGTCTGTGCTGAGCAGTGGGGTATCTGGTAATCTGTGAGGGTGCACGCATGGTTCACTGTCACCCACAGCCACCCTCACACTCAGTCACTAGCTTGGACACCATGCAACTCAGTACAAGTACCGAGTGAGCACATCACCACATCATCTCCCGACCACGTGTGCAGGCCAGCAGCCTCATGAGATCCAGAGAGAGGAACCACGGCAAACAGGAGAGGAGAGACAGGCCCGCTGTCATTTCAAATCCAGGCTGAGTGCATGAAGCAGAGGATGGAATGCTGGCCAAGGCTGCAGTCAGAGGGTTTAGTACTGCATGTCTGAGGTGCTGGGTGAGTGTTATGCACGGCTCAGCTCAGGGCCACAGGGCCGCAGGGCTGGACTCTGACATGGAAGCGGCATGAGAGGTCAGCTAAGCCAACACTGCCAGGACCAGTGCCCAGCGCTGTGTCCTACCTGTTCACCCTGGTCTACTTCCTGGAGAAAAACGGACGAAGGGAAACCAAGCAGAACGAGAGAAAGAAACTTGTAAACAATCATGAGCGTTTAAAAAAAATCAAAAACACTAACAAGAAGCACAACATGAAGGCACGCCGGGGAGGAGGCACGCCGGCGAGGAGGCACGCCGGGGAGGAGGCACGTCACAGGGCAGGGCCCAGCGGCGTGGGGACGCTGGCTGGGAGGTCACACTGGGGTGATGGCAGGGCCTGAGCGGTGTGGGGGACGCTGTCTGTCTGGGCCCGAGAGGAGTGGGGGACGCTGGCTGGGAGGTCACTGGAGTGATGGCTGGGCTTTGAGATTCATCTGAGGTGAGAGCACACACAAGTCGCCCAGGACAGGACCTGGGAAGGCCGTGCAGTGACAGCGTCTACGTGCTGTCCCCTGAAGCCCAGGCCAGCGGGGGGCCCTGTCCTCTCCCACTGACAGGCGTGACACCACTGCAGCCATGAAGCATCCAGCAGTGCGTTCCCACCGCAGCTACATGACAAGGAATCAATTCCTCTGTGTTTCAAAGTGGGTTTTTAAAGGGGAGCTCTGGTGGCCTAGTGGCAAGGAGCTGCAACTATAATCCCAGAGGTGCACGGTTCGAATCCACCAGATGCTCTGCCGGGGAAGGAGGGACAATCTCCTCCTGGACCAGTCAGATCTGATTTGACGGTACACGCACACAAACATAATAAAAATTTTTAAAAAAAAATTAAGAAAAAAAAAAGTGGGTTTTTACGACTAAGGACATTAAAGTTCCCTACTGCGGCTCCTCCCCCAGCTCTCGGGGCCACGGTCACAACGCCACTCTGTGGCTGGGGAGGCCTGCTGGGATAAGGCAGAGCTCGCACACTAGCCGCAACGCAGGGAGAACGGCTAACCGGGCTTCTAAACGGGAAGCAGACTTCCTAAATCCAGACAGAAGGGAAGACAGATGATGGCTCAGAACAAAAACAAGAAAAAACTGACGCTGGTTCACAAATAATGGGGAGGGAGTCACATAACGGTCTCCAGGTGAAAGGACTGTTACCTACAGGTTCCTGAGTCATTGCCTAACCACTCAGAGGTGAAAGAAACGCTTCCTGAAAACTGCTGACACTTAGAGCAACTCGGAGGGAACTGGAAGAGGAATTCCGTTTGCCCATAAGACCATCCCTCAGAAAAGCAACCAAATCCACTGAAACACATTACTTAGGAGAACGGGAATTTCCTACTTCTCATTCTATTATAGAGGATTTTACAGTCTTGGTTAGTAATTCTGGAACACTCAATTTACTTAGGAGGCTTTTAGTATTATGCTGTGTATAAACAGTGACTGTCAATTCTGTCAACTGTAAACAGAATCCTTAAAGAGACCAGATTCACTTGCTTCCTAGAATTTTGGAAATACTCTTAATGAGGACTGGGCAGCTGCCTTTCACGTTTAAGATGAACGATGCCATGTGTCCACGGTAACTGTAGGCACGTTCTCAGATCCCAGACACTACACAGCCTAAGAGACTGGAGACAACAGAGCAAGTGTCTTTCCAGAAGTTCTACAAAATCCGAGCACGTAGGGCAAAGCCTGGACGTTTTCTCACAGTGGTAACTGGAAATGCAGAGGTCATTCCAGGCGGTCACATATACAGGCATTTTCCGTTTTCCTTACTTTGTGGAGGAGAGCGGGCATGAGGGGAAGGGGCCGTTTCCTTTCAGTGCTTTAAGCATAACGCCTTTTGTCATCTGAAAGGCAGCGGACGCAGGGACACCTGGTGGCCGGCTGGCACTCACCTGGATGACGCCTTCCATCATGCTCACCATCCTGTTGACGATGGCGATGACCTTGTGGGTGCGCTCTGCAGGGCTGAGGTCAGGTCTGTACTGGCTCGACAAGACGTGCCGACAGGCCATGTAGAGTACGTACGTGGGGGACAGCTTAAAGTGCACCGTGGAGCTGTTAGTGTAGTTTATGACGGCAGACAAGAACGAGTCCTCGGCTGGGGGGAGACGTGACAAGGGGGGAGCCCTGAGCCGTGTGACGGCACAGCCAGAGCCCCTCCCCCCCGGGACGTGCGCACACTCACCACTCTCCCGGAACTCAATGCTCGCAGGCAGGATGGGCTCTGGGCCCACAGCGTCTTGGCTCCTGCAGACACGGACACAGGTTCAAGCTACAGAGAGGGACTCGTGTACAAGCCACAGAGAGGGACAGGTGTACAAGCTACAGAGAGGGACAGGTGTACAAGCCACAGAGAGGGACAGGTGTACAAGCTACAGAGAGG